ATGGTGTTGCTGTTGTGGAGAACATAGTCTGAGAGCAGTGCCAGAGCAGGGTCACACTCATTTCTGACCCCAGAGTTCACGATGCCACAGGCAAGGAGAGCTCCTGACTACAAAGACCAAACAGAATAAATAAATAAGGGACCAGCACTGTGGCATGGCAGGTTAAGCCACCGCATGCAATGCTAGCTAGCCTCCTACATGAATGCTAGTTCGAGTCCTCGCTGCTCCACTTCTGATCCAGCTCCATGCTAACATGCCTGGGAAAGCAGCAGCAGATGTCTTGACTGCTTGGGCCTCTGCCACCCAAGAAGGAGACCTGGAAAGAGCTCCAGGCTCCTGTCTTCAGCCTGGCCCAGCCCTGACCTTTGCAGCCATTTGGGAAGTGAATCAGCTGATGAAAAATTTTTCTAACTCTGCTTTTCAAATACATAAATAAATCTGTATTTAAAAAGAAAGCAAACAGATTCTTCACTCAGGCTACTCCACCTTCTACAGCTACTTCTACAGCTACAGCTACTTCTACCTTCTACAAAGAATGCAACACAGATCCCATCCCACCACAGCATCAGCCTTAACTGAAGTTAAAGACAGTTGGGGCTGGCAACATGACACAAAGGGTAAAGCCGCTGCCTGTGAACCAGCATCCCATATGGGTGCCAATTCATGTCCCAGCTGCTCCACTTAGGATCTAGCTCCTTGCTAATGGCCTGGGAAAAGCAGCGGAGGAAGGCAGAAGTGCTTGGGCCTCTCCATCGATGTGGGAGACATGGAAGAAGATCCAGGCTCCTGGCTGCAGCCTGGCTCAGTCCTGGCTGTTGCAGCCATCTGGGGAATGAGCCAGTAGATGAAAGACTTCTCTGTTTCTCCTTCTCTCTCTGACTTTAAAATATTTTAAATAACTAAATCTTAAAACAAAAACAAATAAAAACCCTGGGAGGCACTCACTGCCGGGCACAGGAGCACAGGAGAGGGAATTACCCCAGGAGCGGGTGAGGCCCAGACCAACCTTGATATAGTCCTCAGAGGAGTACAGGTACTTGTCAATCTGGGTGAGGCCGCCATCCACATCCCACAGCAGAATCATGCCAAGCGATGCAGCTGCACTCAACATCCCTACACCAAGGAAGAATCATTAGTTTTCAAACGGCCCTACCATGAGGAAACTGTTTCAAGGGATTTTCAAAGAACACCCTGTGGATCTCTGAACAGGTAACGGACAAGCATGAACATAAAGTAGGAACAGAGTTATACCATGGTCCTTGTTCTTGTAAAGCCATTTGTTGCCATCATCAGTCAGCAGCTTGTCCTGACCAAAGGCTGCATTCACAAAGCCGTTCACAAAAGAGGAGGCCAGATTCATGCGAGCAGAGTCTACCTGAGAGCCACTGCCCCCAAACCCTGCAGGGAGAAGAGAGGGAAAAAAAGGCCGATTCAGAGTAGGAAAAGAAAGGAACAGAGCATGGCAGCTGGTCTCTGGTTCCAAGCTGACTTTTTAGGATCCTCTATCCATGCCCCTAAGCAGTGACCTGAAGAAAAGGTTCAAAGGAATTCTAAGCACTACAGGACAGCATGTTGGTCAAGTGATTGCTCCCAAGAGGCATAACCAACAATCCTCCAATCCCCACAGACAAGGGAGAGGGCTACTCACGGTTGTTCTCTAGGTGGGTTTTATAGATGTCATCAGGCACCTTGGGCTCCATGATGTCCAGCTGAAGAGAAGTCAGAGGGTCACCACTGCTGCCCCAGCACTCCCCCAGCCGTCCCTTCTGCTATCCCACTGAATAGCAATGCTAACCAAGGAAAGTCTAGTCAGACGTAGTCAGGGAGGTAGAACAGCAGGCAGAATTATAATCAAAAAGCCTGGACGGAAAAGGCAGTCTCACCTCCCGAGCCAAGGCCAAGAAGTTGCTGTTGAGCTGCACGTTGGACATGATCTCTGTCAGGTCCTCATATTCCTCCACATCTTCACTCAGCTCCAAGAACACTCCATGCCGGCCCAGCATGAACGCCATCTGCTTCTGTACTACCCTGTGGGGGAGACCATCACATCTGTTCACCCCCTCCACCAAGGGCACAGGACAGTCCCTCAAGCCCTAACCAGAACCACAAGTCCCAGCTCTTCAGACAAATGCCCCACACATGAGCTCCTCTCCTCTGCCAGCTTCTTCCCCACATACACATCCTTGCAGGAAGTGAAGATGTCTTCTACCAGCTCCATGTCATTGAGCATCAGTGCCAATCTCAGAGCTTCCGGGAAGCGGCTAAACTTTCGGAAGACGCCCAAGGCACAACGCAGCAGGGCAGAGTTCTCCGGCTCAGGCACATAATTCACACAACTGCAAAAGAAAAAGTAATACACAATACAGAAAGTCTCAGACACCCCATTTAATTCATTTACCCAAACCAAACATGGAATCCCCACTATTTATCAGGCACTATGCTAGATGCTGGGACAACTAACAAGACACACACACGTCTTTGTCAAGAAAGTCACAGACATCAACAAATGAACGATAGCTTCGTGCTACTCTCAAAGCGGATGCTCCGAGAATGGAGAGGGCGCAAATGGGGGTGGAGGGCAGGCCTACCCCCACCCCTCACGCCCACGCACCTGGTGAGATAGAGGCAGACCTTCGCATATGCGTTCTCATCGATGTCCTTTTCCAGCATGTCCACCTGCTCAATTTCCATGAGCAGGTCACAGGCCTCGTGTTCCGCGTTGTGAGCCATGTTGTAGGGAACAATCTCCTTCACCAGGGTAAGCAGCGGCTCTCTCTGTACCTTCTCGGCATCATCCAGCTCCTGCCACTCCTTAGCCACTTCTCCTGCCAGGTGCCTGCAGACAGGCCCGACCATGAAGGAAGCACCACCTCACCGGAAGTCCTCCCCATGGTGGAGGGTTCAGTGTGGGATACTTAGTGCACCGGCACGTCAAGACAGGACCCCCGAGCAAAGGTCTCACCTGACGTATTCATGACCCCAGGAAGCCAGTTCCTCCTGGGAGCCCACCAGCCGATACTTGAGGCACTCTCGCTCCCCACTCATGGTCATGGCCAAAACGGAGATGATGTCAGCTGCAAAACGCTGCAAAGAAACCAGTCCTCAGAAGTCCAGCCCACAGTGCAGGCTAAGGGCAGTGCAACATTACGGAGTCAAGATCACTGTCACTCTCCCCGAAGTTAACTACTGACTACACATCAGTCTCTGCACAAAAATTTCCACGTATCCAAGCTGAGTCTCACAATAACCCAAACGTTGGTGCTGCCGTCTCCCTCTTAAACCAACAAAGTTGATGAATGATAAACAAGAGGGAAAGCAAAGAAAAGATAAAAATTCCAAAGTTTATTTTAATTGCAACAATAAGCTATCGAAAGAAAGAAGACTCATAATCTAGAAAAACATCCCTGACTGCCATATGAAAGACAGTACGCGTAGAAAGTCAAGGGCAAGGCCAGCCAGACCGAAATACTTCAGATAACTGAACATTTCATTTTCTGGATTAGCATAGTATTGAGGGGCAGAGAAGAGACTTAACCGGGGGTATATCTTAGAGATAAAAAAAATGAGTGTATACAGGATAAAGGGAACAGAAAATACAGGGTTAAATTCAAGTTAAGGCAGATCACAATAATGAAATCCCAAGGTCCAACAGGCATGACAGAAACCGTCTTCCGAGAAGCAAATCCTCCTTCCAGCTCTTTCGTGGGTACTGTGACTATGATGAACTCTGCTCAATGAGATCAGGTCTTGGGTCTGTCAGACCCTGTGTGACTCGCCATGATCCCTGTGGTCTAGATGAGAGGACCCCTAAACTAGACTTCCACCAGTTTCTGAACTAGTTTTACCTTATTCTCCCCAGGGGCCATGTTCTCGTAGATTTCCTTCAGCTTGCCATAGTGTGGCCGCAGGAATTTGAGAGGTTTGGGCACCGAGGTCATGGACGTTGTAGAAGACCGAATCTGCCTCCGCAACTCCTCCAGGGCTGGTCGGTACAGGGATGTGTCTTTCTCCTGATTAGGAGACGTAAGCGCTCAGACAGAAGGGAAGCAGACACCCCTCCAAATGACGAGGCAGAGACCTTTCTCTAACAACTCCCTCATGGACAGAACCGTTTGCTATGCACCTGTGACGCCCCAACTCTCCGCACACTGCCCGGCACCAAAGCCAATAGCCTCCCAATGTTCCTCGTCATTGTCCTCACTCACAACACGGCCCTAACGCTGACCCTAAAATGCAGCCCACTTCACACAGGAGCCGCTGCCTAAAAACGGAATAAAGCAAACAAGTGGAAAAGATCCAGAGAGCCCACCGCCCCCCACGTTCCCGTCATGACTCACCCCCAGGCGTTCCACGAGCATCTCCAGTTCATCCTGGAGCTGCTTGTCCTCCTCAGACTGCGGGGTCAGGGGGGGAAGCTCATCAAAGGAGGAACCCCAACCACATGCTCCTCCCACTCACCCCGGAGCAGGTGAGTGCGAGCCCACCTCCTCGGGAGGGGCCAGGCAAGGGGAGTGACAATGACCCACCACGAGGCGGTGGTGAGGCTTGGTGGAGGTGACAGCGGGAGAATGAAGAACGAGGGCACAGAGGCGGGGGTGCCAGAAGCCCCGACCGTAGCCCCAACTACCCTCTCCCGGGCGCGGTGGGGCCGTTGGGGGCCAGGCCCGAGGCCTGCGGAGCCGCCGTGACTCAGCCCCGCGGCCTCCTCCGCCAGCTCTCGGGGCCACGCCTCACCAGCTCCTGCTCTTTGTCCTTGTCCCCGGCATCCCGTCGCTCCTTGCCGCTCGACTTCTCATCCGCGCCACCGGGGGCCGTCGCTGGGGGCTGCTGGGGCTGCACCGGAGCCTTGTCCCGGCCACTCTCCTCCATCTCCGCCGCCGCTGCCGGCCCGCTGCGCGCGCACCCTCGCGCACCGCCCCCTTTCCCAGACGGCCTCGCGCGCGGCGTGCGCGGTGCCCCGCCTCCTCCGGGCCCCGGCGCTCCCGGAAACGTCGGGTGGACCCACACCGCTCGGCGGCCTCGTAGGCGGTCGGGAGTGGGAGCGGGAGGTTCCCAGCCCTCGGCTCGGCTCGCAATGGCGACGGCGGGGCTCTGGCCTGCTTCGAGTTTCTCGAACGCCACAGGCACTCGCTGGTGTAGGAGATGACTAGGCTGCGAGCCGAGATCCCATGGGTAAGGATTTTCCTCACCCGTGTTACGGGATTTTCTCATAACAGTGTGAATAAAACCCCCAGTGGTGTTCCAGTTGGCTGCTTGGTGCAACAAACAGAAGGGGTTCTTGAGACACTTGGCTGCCATCTGAGTGACCTATGTCTAGCCCCATACCACTGTGAAATAGTAACCCATAACGCTTCCCCCGCATTGGGGATGTTCTGGGTCCTTTTGGGAGCAAGGTGGCCAGGCGGGACCAAAGTTGGAAGCCTGGAATTCAATCCAAATCTCCCAGGTGTGTGGTAACGACTCAACCACTTGAGTCATCCCTGCTGCCTCCCAGAGTCTGCATTTAGCAAGAACCTGGAGTCAGGAGCGAGAGCCAGGAGCCTAACCCAGGTGTTCTGATATGAGATGCTGCTGTCCTAACTGGCATCTTAAGTACTAGGCCAAACACCTGCTCCAGAATTGCTTTTTGAGTGATCATATGGAGTTCCCATAAGCCCTTGAGATTGGTAGGATTGTGTCCATTTTACAGGGGAAATCACATACAGCATGATTTGACATCAATAGTTGAGTGTCAGCCTTCCAGATCTCGACTGTGTCAGGCAAACCCTGAAGTTTCTTCCTCAGCTCAGGTTATGCAGTGTGTGTGCCGTGTCCCAAGGGTGAGATATGAGGAAGTGACTCCTCCCCTTTGCCTGGTGAGAACACTAACCATCTGGCCTGGAGTCTTCTTTTATGGATTCTGCTGCATTTAAGAATGTAGAAAGTGTTTTTATTTATTTATTTATTTATTTTTTATTTTTGACAGGCAGAGTGGACAGTGAGAGAGAGAGAGACAGGTCTTCCTTTGCCGTTGGTTCACCCTCCAATGGCCGCCACGGCTAGCACGCTGTGGTTGGGCACCGCGCTGATCCGAAGGCAAGAGCCAGATGGTTCTCCTGGTCTCCCATGGGGTGCAGGGCCCAAGCACTTGGGCCATCCTCCACTGCACTCCCTGGCCACAGCAGAGAGCTGGCCTGGAAGAGGGGCAACCGAGACAGAATCTGGCACCCCAACCGGGACTAGAACCTGGTGTGCCGATGCCGCAAGGTGGAGGATTAGCCTAGTGAGCCACGGTGCCGGCCCAATATTCTTTTTTTTTTTAAAGATTTATTTATTTATTTATTGACAGTCAGGGTGGACAGTGAGAGAGGTAGAGACAGAGAGAAAGGTCTTCCTTTACCATTGGTTCAACCTCCAATGGCTGCCGCGGCCGGCGCACCGCGCTGATGCAAAGCCAGGAGCTAGGTGCTTCTCCTGGTCTCCCATGTGGGTGCAGGGCCCAAGAACTTGGGCCATCCTCCACTGCCTTTCAGGGCCACAGCAGAGAGCTGGACTGGAAGAAGGGCAACCAGGACAGAATCCGGCACCCCGACTGGGGCTAGAACCTGGTGTGCCGGCGCCGCAGGCGGAGGATTAGCCTAGTGAGCTGCAGCGCCGGCCTAGAAAGTGTTTACAAACATATAACACAGGAGCCAGCATTGTGGTGGAGCAGGTTAAACTGCTGCTTGGGACAGGGACATCTCTTAGCACAGTGTTGGCTTGAGTCCCAGCTACTCAGCTTCCTGCTACTGTGCTTGTGAAGGGAGCACATGATGACCCAAGTACTTGACACCCACCACCCCTATGGGAGACCAGGATGGAGTTCTCCTGGCCCCGACCTGGCTGTTGGCAGGCATCCAGGGTCTAAACCTTATCTCTGTGTCACTCTGCCTTTCAAATAAATATTTTTTTAATCTACACAACATAGCTAGCACTGAATTAATTTGGCCAAATGTTTGTATAGCTACAGATCTAAAACTCTTAAAGCCCAATTTAAAAACCTGTTGCTGGGGCTGGCACTGTATCATATGGGTAAAGCCACCACCTGCAGTGCTGGCATCCCATATGGGCGCCAGTTCAAGTCCTTGCTGCTCCACTTCTGATCCAGCTCTCTGCTATGGCCTGGGAAAGCAGTAGAAGATGGCCCAGTTCTTGGGCCCCTGCACCTGCATGGGAAATCTGAAAGAAGCTACTGGCTCCTTGCTTCGGATGGGCACAGCTCTGGCCATTGCGGCCAACTGGGGAGTGAACCAGCAGATGGAAGACACCCCCCCCCACCTCTCCTTGTCTGTGTAAACTCTAACTTTCAAGTAAATAAATAAATCTTAAAAAGCTGTTGCTCTTTTCTCCTCAATACTCGGATTCCAGGAATAACCTTCCATTTCCACTGCCCGTGACTCCTCCAGCCCTGGTCTCTGGACAGAAGTTGGACAGTCGGTGGCTGGTCTGCTTTTTCTCTCTCTGCCTTCAGCAGGTTCCTACATTTTCATGCTTTCTTCAAGCATCTGTAGAGGGATTTCTTCTAGATCTCTCCTTTCTCCATGGCTTCCTTTTATTGAGTCTCAGTCATATCCAAACTAGTAACTGGCAAGATACGTGGCATAAAGCTCAAGCTGTTAACCAGCTGGTGACTCCAGATGAAGGGTATATGAATATTTGTATTATGTTTCAATTTTTTTTTTTGGTAGCTTGGAAACGTTTCAAAACAAAACTTTGGGCCAGCGCCACAGTTCACTTGGCTAATCCTCTGCCTGCGGCGCCGGCACACTGGGTTCTAATCCAGGTTGCTCCTCTTCCAGTCCAGCTCTCTGCTGTGGCCCAGGAAGGCAGTGGAGGATGTCCCAAGTGCTTGGGCCCTGCACCCACATCTGCATGGGAGACCAGGAGGAAGCACCTGGCTTTGGATCGGCACAGTGCGCCAGCCATAGCAGCCATTTGGGGGATGAACCAATGGAAAAAGGAAGACCTTTCTCTCTGTCTCTCTCTGTCTCTCTCTCTCTAACTCTGCCTGTCCAAAAAAAAAAAAAAGTGCATATGCTGAAGTCCTGACTCCTAACAACTCAAAATATGATCCTATTTGGAGTTAGGGCTTTAAAGGGGTAATTGAAATAAAATGAAGTCACATAGGTGGGCCTTTTCAACATAGGTAGTGGACTCATAAGGCATTAGAAAACAGATGCTGCCGGCGCCGTGGCTCAATAGGCCAATCCTCCACCTTGCGGCGCCGGCACACCGGGTTCTAGTCCCGGTCGGGGCGCCGGATTCTGTCCCGGTTGCCCCTCTTCCAGGCCAGCTCTCTGCTATGGCCAGGGAGTGCAGTGGAGGATGGCCCAGGTGCTTGGGCCCTGCACCCCATGGGAGACCAGGAAAAGCACCTGGATCCTGGCTCCTGCCATCGGATCAGCGCGGTGCGCCGGCTGCAGCGGCGGCCATTGGAGGGTGAACCAACGGCAAAAGGAAGAC